CTCTGACAGTTCACTCGTACAAAATTATACTCCTGAGCAGAAAGTGGCATTGAGAGAGTTAACCCTTTCACTCCCACAAGTGATCAAGAAAGAATTTCTCCTTACAATATCAAGCAGACAAGTGATGAGAATATAGAAAAATATCAATTAGGGGTTTATTGGTGTAGTAATACTAAATTCTCCAAACTAACATCCTAAGAATTGTTTAACAGACTGTAAAGAGAATTATGAGTGAAAAGGTTATCTGTGTTGTCCAAGAAGACAGTGACCCTGTAAAGTCTTGAACCCAAACCTTGCAAGTAGAATTCAGCCCACTTAGCCAGAAGAGACACACACAAAAAAGGCCCAGACTTCTCAATTTGGACTTGATTGCCACCTTTAGACCACAGTATCCTCTAATAGTATAAATCTACTTGCTCTCTATCACAAATGCACCCCCCCCCCTCCCCCAGGGCTGGCATTCTAGCTGGAAGGAGCACTATTGATCATAATTGCTTCATGCTAAGGAAACTGCAATAAACTCTGCCTGAATAGGCCACTTGGCCTGGGTCCAGACTTCACATACCTTTCACCAATTACTAGGATCAGTAAATATGATGAGTTAACTTACCGCTGTTGGAGATAATTTCAAATTGTCATCCTTTAATGATATGGAAACCTAAAGAAAAGGATACCAAAATAAAGATTTGTACACAACTAAAAGTGTCATCTGCCCTTTTTACAAATGGGCCCAGAAATAATTATGGATTGCTTAGGTAACATTTGACCCATTGAATCAAACCAAAGTGTTAGCAGTTTCTCGATTCTGCTATTCTGTAGCCTGCAGTGCCGGTGTATTTTGGGCACACGAGTGCACATTTTCGTATTAGGCCACCATCTTAGATTTGGTGACAGTGGAGGATTGGGGCGAGGAAATATTTGTCGAGGGAGTAGGTGTTAAGTGGAAAAATGGGCAACAGGGGAGAGGGAGGGGAAGGATTCCAATAATAATAACAATAATAATTATAATAACTCAACAATAATTGTGGTAACTCAACAGTAATTCAACTGATGGACTAGTGACCCTTGATCCTAAAAGTGTTACAATAAGAATTAAAAGATATTTGAGGATTACAAAACTGGTTGACTGGTCTCTAAGAATGTAAGCTAAAGACTAAATGAAGTAAAATATGTCGCTTGGATTGCATTAAGTTATATGCAGACTGGACTGTTCTACTTCATCATAGCCTGTTAAAAAGCGTCTGTAAAAGCCCTTTCCCAAAGAAACAACTGTTGTCTCCTCTCTCTTGAGGTTATTGGGTAGTTGATTCCACAATCTGGTTGCAGATACACTAAAGGTAAGCCTTCCTCTCTCGGTTTTGCAATTGAAACGAAGGCAGGTGAGATTTCATTTAATATAATGGCCAGTTCATGTGTGTAGGTCTGCATTAAATTTGAATAAAGGCTGATAGTTTCGAAAGAAACTCTTTGGGGCTGCGTCAGTGGGAGTAATGAAATAATTTGGATATATCAACAAAGTTCAAATGGTAAATTGGCCACCGTAACGATTACAAAAGCTGACATTTCGAGCGTTAGCCCTTCGTCGGAGTGAATAGAGGAATTGTGGGTTGTGTGTGCTTTTAAAGGCAGAAAATTTGCCTGCATTAAATTTGCCTGCAGTGCAAGCAGCTTATTGGGGCAAGTTAAGATAATAAGAGTTAAGATAATAAGTTTATTAAGATAATAAGATAGTAATCATTTATCCGAACACCATGTTTGATTAAGAGTCAGGGTAGATGGTGGGGGTAGGGGGTGCGTGAAGGGCCCTCTCCTTATTTTTTAACTGCCACTCCCCCCTTGGTACAAATTACTTTCTATACCCAGCCTTCCAATGCCATTAAAATCAAAGTTGACAGCCATTTTTTGCTAACAAAATACTGAGTACTTGCTGGAATCAAATTTCAGTATATTGTATATATAAGCAGGACAGCTTCCTTGTAAACACTCAAAGACTTAAGTACACTTACTTAATTTAACTTCTTCATAGAGAAGGAGTCTTGCTAATTACTTGAAAAGTTTCACGCTGTTTGACCTTGCGTAGAATATCTTGTCTACAATTATAACCAAAGTAAAGTTCTGGGAAAGATGTCTGTATAACCCTATACCAATCAAAAACAATGCCATAATCCCAAAGGTAATCTATTGTTTAGCCTCTGCTTTCTTTTATCCAAGAATTGTATACATAATGAAGTATGGGGTTATACCGAAATCTTGCCAAGTCATGCTTCTGCCAGATGACAAATGAACTCCTTCACCTTAAAGATTGACTATCTCTGAATTTCTCCACTGAGTATCAATCATGGTTGCAAACTAACAAAGCTTTTGATAAATAAATTCTTCAGTCACCACAAAAGCAGTATTATGAAGAAATGTGTGCAGAATATCCATGCTGATGTTAGAGTGTAAAGAGTTAAAAGCTCCTGATTAATCATCTGCAAATGTTAATTTTTAATTTAGAAATATATTCCAAGCTATTAACTTATTAGCCTTTCATCAGATACAAGGCCGTAGCCAGACTTCAGAACAAGATGAGACAAGTTTTGAACGCTGAAGGAGTGAGCCACTAGCGGGGGGCCTGAGGGCATGCCCGCCCCCTCCCCCCCCAGGAAATTTTGAACTCTCGAGGCTCACAAATGCTCTTTTAAGCATTTTCAGTGGCATTTTTCTTCAGAAAAGTCAATCTTGGGCAAAATTAAGACGAGGCCTCGTCTTGCCTTGAGCTAGATACGGCCCTGAGAAATAACTGACTTTAAAACTGCAACTGTTACTTCCTGTGTTTCGTAAATGAAAATATGAGTGGAAAATCCTTTGCTGCATATCATAGAAAAATCAAACAAAATTCCATGCGAACGCAAATCAGTAAATAGACCTTGAGACTACATAAAAACAAAATTTTACCTTTTTGGATGTCGAGTCATCCCCCTCCATAGCGATCGATGCTTTCTCATGTTGACGAAACAGTTGGAGTTCTTCGTTTGTTTCCTTCCACATACCGTAGTATTTCCGCGCGAGTGACAAATATTTTGCCGCGTTGTTTTTCTCTGCTTCCAAAGCTTCCAGAAGATCGGCTTCCATTTTCAAAGCCCGCTCCTTGACAAGTTTCTCCATCTTAACCAATCTCTTTGCGTTGTTTTCTTCCTTACGCCTTTGTTTTCTTCGTTTCTGTTGACGTCTTCGTGCCACGCGTCTGTTTTGCCGTCTCTGTTCTAGTATCGCAGGATCTAAGGCTCCTTCACTTTTTCCCTCGCCATTAGTAGCATCCAAAGGAGTGCCAGTGTCTTTCAATTCTTGTTCTTTTGCTCTTTCGCTTTTTCCGTTGCAATTGGAAGCATTTAATGGAACGCTGGTGTCTTTCATTTCTCGTTTCACTGTTTCTCCGACGGTTGACTTTGCTTTCGTCAACCAAGCTGGTGAAGATGACGGAGCCGCCATCATTGTGATGTCAGTAGTGATGTCAGGTTCGCGCCAAATTGAGCCAAATTGAGCCAAATTGGTTTCACCGTGAGAAGGCTGGCGACAAGGAGACCTCATAATATGCAGGGGAAGGGAGGGTAGGCCTGTCCCGATTTTATGCTCTGCAACATTCAGTCAACTTTTAAGCATAATGGTGATTTGTTTATCAAGAGCATGATTATAGACAGAGTTGGATGACTTCAAGTCCTGTTACCGGTAAGTCAAAACTACGACAAAATTTAGGAAATAAACTAGCCACCAGTTGTACCGTTTCATAAAAAGCAAAATTCACCAACAAAAGCGCGCGCACATACAGGCACGACGCATGCGGTCCTTTATTATCCAACTGCTCTTAGTAGGGTACAAAGAACGGACGAATTGAGTACAAATATCACATAGAATTGCACAGGCAGCTCAAGCGTACTTTGTGGGGCTTAGGGCGTAAAATTCATTAACGGCAATAAGTAACTAAGATCGAATTTCAAGCGTACGCGAGGGCCGTTAAAAAAAGGAAAAATTATTTTAGAAAATAAGAAAAAATTTAGAAGGATAATAAAAGCGAGG